ATTAACGTATTGACGATTTAGAATCTTTAATAAGAGCTTCAATAGTTTTGAGACCCACTATCTATGAATAACACTTGCTGAGCGATTGAAGTCTCTATGAATAAGGTGTTTCTGCAATATTTCAGGCACAAGATGGCATTTAACTTTGACCAACTATTAAATTATCTCAAGTGTCCGTATAAGAACGAACGTAGCGACGACTGCATGCTGGGAATACGCCTTAATATATTGACAATAGTAACTTCTAGAGGTTGTTTGACCTTGTTTTCCCAACATGGTCATATTGATAGGAACGCACCTAGTCCGGGGTCCATTGTCTGCATGATCATTTCCAAAGTTGAACCGTAGACGTGGTACATTACCATTAAATCGGCATCATCAGTGAGTCTCGCTATTCAACAACTCGTCAACGAGACAAATGAAGCCGATCCTTTGACCAAACGTGTGCTAAACAGTTGCGCTATCTCCCCTTCTGCCCTGGGCTATTCACATTTCATAAATCATCCTATCACACCTTCCGTCACAATTTTTACCGTGCCTACTTTGGTGTAGTGTGGTGTGCTCCTTCGAGCGGCATCCATGAAAACCCTTCACACTCCCTTCCCCCTTGTGCTGGGAATGTTGACCAGAATCTGTCATACTGTTACGTAGTCCTTTCCTGGGTCCTATCAAAGTCTCCATTCTCCCTGATTCACATATTTCACTCGACTCCTGCCACCCATTCAGTGCTCGAGGCGTTATTCGGCCTCCCCCTGTCTCTGGGTGATTAATTCGAGGCTAAAAACTGTGTAAGTACATGGTCACTCTCTTTCTACATGGACCACGTTTATGGTAAAAACAGACCTACTGTCAGCGCCCTAGCTCCAATCGTCGCCTCGTCTATCCTGTCTCTATATCTAATACCAAGTCTACGACTTCACATGCCCTAGTCACTTGTGTCAATCCACAGATGTTGTGGTACAGCTTTTGATTTGGTTCAATGTTGAACCACAACGTTGGCACACAAGATACTATGGCATGTGAAGCCATAGACTTGGTATTAGAGATAAAAACAGTAACTTCTCGAGTTTATTTTCCATCGGCTTCACTTAATTACCTGATTAAAATGATCCCCGCGGATTGATATTGAACCCCTGCACCAACATCCTTCTATCCGATCACTAGTATCTCTAGTGATAGAAAACTTCCAATTACGAACTAATGTATCACTATCGATCTTACAGGTGTCCATCGGCCACCGCGTGCCTAACTGCGGACGGAAAAATTGGCCGAGGTGGCAACTCGGGCAAGAAGAAACAGTCCAGCGGACTACAAGTTCAAGAGGTTAAGGTCTCAGTTGCTGACCAGGCTGCGCTCGCTGCCGCAGTGGTACAGCAGCAGCAACAACAGGCAGCCCAAGTACAATCAGGCTCTGCAAACATGAATAGCCTGTTTTCATTTGGTCTGATCAGCCCCTCCACGGCTACTAGCCTCGGCAGTCTGGAGGCGGCTGCAGCAGCAGGCGCCGTATATCAGATCCAACCTGGCAGCAGCGCAGCAGTGCAGCTTCAGCACCACCTGCAGCAACAACAACAGGCTGCCGCGGTTGCCGCCTTTCAGCAGCAGCCGGCGACCCAAGCGGCCTACCACGCCCAACCACAACTCATTTTCCAGCCGCATCCACACGCCCAACTGATACAACAGCAACACCTCCAGCAACAGACATCTGGGACGGTAGTGGTGACATCGGCGGCCCCGTTATTCGGCGTCGCGGCACCTGCCACTGCAGCCATCTCCCATTGACCCGAAATTCACAAATGCGAGCTCGCAGAACCCCGACGCCCATCCGATAACTGCTTTTCATGCCAGACCGCGGCTGGCAAAATTGTACAGGCGACAATGACTAGTCCCCATACACATGTATATAAAAACAGACACCCATGAGCACAGAGCCAAAATGTACGCCTGCCAATACACCAATGAAATGCTTATCGACCAAATGATTTTGTTTTCAAAAGGTTACAAATATAGCTTAATATATTGATACCATATAAAACTTCACATAACGGGATAAAATGAAGAGGGCAAGGTAAGGTAGCACGAAGACAACAGACGATATACAGTTATGCCCAGCCGCCGTACCATGCGGCAGATCTGTCATCAGCGGGGCCCATCGAAGCACCATAAATGTCAGCCGAGGGCACACTGCGAAGGGAATAGACAACGATTAGGGCCAGCAAGTAACCGGGCAATTTAATCGGAGAAGAACTCACGGGGGCGCGGGCGCACCGTAGCCACCAGAACTATAACCATTTCCCGAGTAGCCACCATATTGGTTTGAGGATCCCGCTGATTGATCACCGGTCCCACCCATGTAAGAGCCCCCATCAAAACCACTCGAATAGCCGCCAGATCCGCCCGCACCACCACGTGAGGGCGCCCCACTTGATCCTCCGGTGCTTCGGGATCCACCACGACCACTGCCTCTGCCTCCAGACCCGCGAGCACCAGCTCCTCCACGGCCTCCACCTCCGCGCCCTCCACCGCGACCAACACCAGATGGGCTGCGGCCAGGTGAAAGATCACCAGGTGGGCCACCGCCCATCATGTAAGGCATCTGTCCACTTGGTG